TCTTTTATCGCACCTCTCATTCCCTTCAAAGGTAGACATTTTTGATACATCACGAATAATAGAGCTAAAGTTCAAAAGTTTTCAAATATTTTTACATAGCATACTAAATGTCACTTTCTTTCAGGGTAACTTTTCTATACATATAAGTTACAAAATTGATTTTCCATTGTAATTAACTTTCACTAAAATAGTTTTAATATTTGTTCAGAGCCTTTTATAAGGATTCTTTGAACCTCCTTATTTTACTTATCTCCTTTTCGGTTATCCACTTTTTTGCTACGTGCGGACAGACAGACCGCCGCAACTATTGACGTTTCAAAACTTGGCGCAACTACCGTACGATTTTTTGTGTTTCTTGGTGTATTGGGAAGACAACGTACTAGAGAAGATGGCCCTTAATGCGACGCAATGGAAAACGGACATCTTTGCTGTTAATAAAAAATGAAACGTTCTACTTTTTATATTCTAATTAGAAGGTTCACAATTTGATCGTCACATATGTTTTATGGATTTCACTTCTTCTAAAGACGACATATATTTTGTCGAATGAAGTTCTTCAGACGACATCACAAATGCAGATTACCGTTATGATGGTCAGGCAAATATAGTAACGAAAACTATGGCTGTTGCTTTATCGTGTGTGCAGAAAGGTTAACGAGCGTATGTACACATTTGCGCTACCTAATTGTTCTTGTCGTATAATCTCTCGTAAAAAGGCGAGAGTTGGGCGTTAAACGGCGTTGCTTTTAAGCAAATGTTTTCCATGCCGCTGGGCAAAATGGCGTCTGCCACCCCCAGAGGTTGTGGCGTAGCCTTCACAGTGCGGTCCTGGTGGGTAGGGGATGGAATAGTTCTACTTAATGACGGTCGCTATATGGAATCGGGCTATGATGGTAATATAATATACAGCTACGCACTCTGTGGTCACTGTACTAGACGTTGCGAGAAAACTTGGCTGGTGTTAGTTTCTATGTAATTGGTCTTGATGTCTTCCCTTTGTACGAAAAGTTTCATGAGCGTATAATGTGTATGAGTTGCCGCCTCAAAGATCTTTCGAAGAGAACGAGGTGTTGCAAGACGAAATTTTGCGCGTTTAGCAGCATTTCTGTTCTGCTTTGAATTTTTCTAAACTCATATATGTGAAAAGCCACAACGTGCACCTCTATAAAACAATAATGGCTTAAGTAACAAAGGGCTATTGAGAGTCAGGGGAAATGTGAGGTCATTACTTCCTTGTATACAGCCAAAAGGGTTATGGCAAGAACGTTCAAGTATCCTTCATTGTCAACCCCACAAAACAAGATAGGTAGATGACAAAGCGCTTTAGAAGATTTTTTTATTACTGTGTTTCATTTCTTTGCTATGGACTATTTGAAAGAAACCGCTTGAAGAGACCAGATCCCGAAACATGTGTAAACGGCTACCGAATCATCACAAATAGGAATTAGATGTATTGATTGCCATCTGCGTTTCTGCGCAAGCCTGATGAATTGTAAAAAACCTTAGGAGTATCTATCGGTCTAGCAAATAAATAAATATGTAATTTTTTTAACATTCAGAAATGTTTCTAAAGGTGAATAAAAACCCTCAAGTTAACAGTTATTTCTCCGTAACAAAATTCCACAACCCAGAGGGAAAATACGAAAGTTTGAAATTCAGGAAATTTCATTAACATACCCGCCTTTTGCTCTCCACTTCTGTTGATATACGCGTTATTATTTTAAAGCAGAAGTACGTATAAATATTCTCAAGGTAACGAGTAATTTAAATGTTTCGCTCAATTCTTTTCGAGCACTAAAAATCGCTGAAGGCCTTGCTCAGAACTGGCCCACACAAAGTTTCTTTCATATTAATAGCGCGTCGGAGCGTTTTCGTTTTTATTTCAAAGTGGTGCTTTTCTCAATGGTACCGTGGGATATAAAACTCTGAATCTAGGCTTGCTCGACGGACAAAAGTTGAGGGGAAACGTTAAGGGTTTGGACTCCGCGGCCTCCCGCAATGCGAGGTCTCTCGGCAGCGATTACCGACTGCACCGACGACCTGCGCTACGCGTTGGCCGCTGCTAATTGATTTTTCACGCGCTTTTGATGGGGCCGGTCTTTAGGCGCGGTGAGCGAGAGGGCCAGGGGAACGCGCAAAGGGGTAGGGTGGGGACGGCCCAGCACAGCGGAGAGGGAGCACGGGCGGGGAAGAAGGGACGGAACGTGGAGGAGTGAGGAAACGACGGCCGGGGAGGGGCAGGGTGGCGATGGAGCTGAGCGACGTCGTGAGGAGACGGGCAGAGCAAAGCAGGAAGATTTGGAGGAGTGAGGAAACGGACAGAGTGAGGCGCGGAACGGGCGAGGGCGGGGCACGGGGGACCTGGCGGGCCTCGCCGCCTCGCTTTTGTCCCAGGCCCTTTTTCTCGGGCGCTGATTAAAGCCGGTGATTCAGAGCCGTGGGCTAATCTCCCCGCTGCGCTCTTTTTGCGCTCCAGGAGCTGCTTGTGTGGCGTCGCGCGCATGCCGCCCGCCCCGCCCCGCCCCCTTCCGGCCCCGCGGCCGCTGCGCTCGTCGTCTGCTTGTGATGTCTCCGAGGAGGTGCATTAAGGCGCTGTGCACTCGCGTCGCGCGCTTGTTCCGCAGGAGCGGAATCGGGAATTAGCGTTGGAGAGCGCAGTTAAGAGCTGCGTTCGGCTCGTGTGTCGGCGAGTCTAATGTGGCCTCGATTCTCGGGAGCACTAGCTGACTAGAATAGATTTTAAGAGGTCTTTCTCGTTATGTTTACACGCTACAGTTACATAGATTTTGTACTTCTCTACATAAACCTAAACACCTCTCTTAATAAATTCCTCCCTCGTTAATAAAAAAACTATAATGGGAAACGATGATAATTAGCACTTGTCAAAACCGTTTCAATGAGACTTTCAAGTTTAAATGACAATATATAGTAAATCATCTGTATCACGTTTTCGTCTGCAAAAAATTATATCCGAAAAATGTTTGGAGAAAATCAATTCGAGGTTTCTATTTTTTATTGCTGTCCGAAATCTTTAAATGAGATATAAAATGCTACTCGTATTTCTGTGCAAATCACTGGCATGCACGTAACACAACTTTTCATCTAACTTTATTTTGCTTGTGGCATGAATCACTGGACCATAAATCTATTGTCAGCATAATCGAATTGGGCCAATTTTCCATCAATCGTCCAAACGCATAGGTTGATTTATTACAAAAGAAGTAAAAATGTTGACAATTATTACGAAACATGTTAGCGGGTACTACACGTAACTGTGTGATTTTCGATACGAGGGCATTGCAAATCTGCAGTGTTGTATCAATGCTCATTGTCACGTGTGAACATAATTCAATACGTACCGCAAGTCATTATGAAATTTTAACAATGACATTTTTATTTGCCTTTTTCTTTTCTTTGGCTATTGGAACGTATTAAAATGCCTAATGCATTTACGAATTATTTTTGTATACGTTATGAGGCAATTTTAAATCGTAGATCGTGAACATATGAAAATGCCTCATGAATCTACGAAATATTTTTGTACATGTTATGCGATAATTTTAAATCGTAGACGTAGATTTTTTGCTTATAAGAAACGAACTATTTAAATATTGTGTGAGCATTACATCACAGCTAAGTATCGACCTCGAGTTTGTCACTCAGAGATGTGGTTATTATGTGAGACTTTCACGAACTAGATGAATTATTAAATTAATATTTTCTTTTTATATGATAATTGTTTGATACTCTTACTACGTTCTCGCAACCAGGAGAGTTTTGCCTGAAAATCTGTGTTCAACAATCCTCAATAACTCTCCCGTATCAGGAAACGCTTGTCGCCAGCAGTGCACGGCTTTGCGATCCGCCACGAAACGTAGCGCTGGTCCTCTGCGGCGGCGCGTCCTTGCTCCAACGACGAAGGAAAAGACGCGGCTTCTGCGACGGCGCCGCTCCTCGCGCGCGGAGGCTGCGGCTGAAACGCTTCGCTCCACGGAGCAGCCTTTTAACTCGGCTGAGTAGGCGCCATCTCGGAGGGGTGAATGACGGTTCCGAGTCGCCGCGCGCGACAGCGCCCCTGGCGGCTGGCCGGCGCGTGCGAAGGTCGCCCGCCGCGCGTCGAGGGCGGACCTCTCAGGGCAGATCTCCCGCCGTGTGTGGATGAGTCTGGTCGAGTCATCTGCGCGCCGTGGAAGGAAGTTTCGTGAGCGGCTGCGGGTTCGTCATACCCGTTAATTGGAACAGACTCGAGCGTCTAGTGACGAGTGAACAATACCGTCTCTCGGAGACTACATTTTACGGCTGTTGAACAGGTGATTATTATCCATACAGAGAATGACAACCTCTCATGCCAGGCCGCGCAGAGATATATAAGTCATTCTGTTTTCCTATTCGTTTCTTTGTAGAGTGGTATTCCGGACTGTGCCGATCGTCACTCTCACGTGGGTGTTAATTGGTCTTCGTCCTATACTATTTGCTTGTCAGCAGGGAGATAGGTACTCAATAAGGATTTAGAACTGAAAGTAGGATAGCTCCTCGCAAGTCATGAGTTGTAGTTTGGTAAAAAGAGGGAAGGGGGCTCCCGAGCACCTTCGAATAATTGTGCTCCTTCTATCCCTGAAGTCAGGAAGTTAAAATTTGTTTCCATTCTCCAACACTTTAAAATTCAGGACTTCTGTAATGCTCCTAAAATTGTTTGCACCTCGGCATGAGCAATGCATATTTAATGAGCAAAATACATTAATATCTCAACAATGAACAAAATCGGGAACTAGTAATTGCAATGTAATAAATTAACATTGTTTTTGGTTACGTGATATTAAATTTTATAGTTTTGAGTAAAACATTGAAAAGAAGGTCTCTCCTTTTGCGAAGAGACGGTCCAATCTCAACAGAGGTTTGCAAATGTGTTTTACTGCATGCCGTCACGAATTGCGTATTAAAACCACCAAGTGTCAGGCATTAGTGGAGACATCAAGCTTGGGTTTAGAATGATTGGCGCCTTATGCCCGCAGCGCTTAGATAAAGTAAAAGTATAAAAAATCGATATATTAAATTCAAAAATAAAAATAAATTACTAATTGAAACATCATATTTGATTAATGTTACTTCGTAGTTTCAAGCAATTTTTTGAAGACCACACTCCTCAAAATTCAGCACTCATGAACCTAATGGATCCATAGGATTAATTAATAGCATTAATAAGAGATTTATAATAAGTAATTATTACTTAAACATGTGAGCAGTCCGTTGAAAAGCAATGAAGGACAATTAACCTCAACAACTGTGAACCATTTCCGCTTAAATGTGCTGCTCCGTTGTGACTCATTGTCCTCGTGCGCTAACTTCTTTGTCGTGCGAGGGCAAACAGCAACCGGCAGTTGTGGCGCGGGCCCGATGACGTCTGTGCGCAGATAAACGTTGCCAAAGTATCGTTCTATCCTGCGAGATAATAAGCGCTTACCGTGTGCGCGCGGTCCGCACGTTTTGCCCGCGCCGCGGCGCTCGTTTGCAGCCGCGCGAATGGGCGTAGGGGGGGGGGGAAATGGGAGTCATAAGTCGCGTGGGCGTCGCGCGCCGTCCTGAGCGATTGTGGCAGCGTCATTTGCGTTGCGCGACCGCCAGCGCGCGCTGATCGCTGTCCACTATTCGCCGTTGACGGTGCGCGCACCTGAAACCCTTTGGCACCTTTTTGGTCGTTTCGGTGAAACAGTGTTTCGCCGACGTGGATGGCCGAGGGGTTGAAAGCGTGCGCCGGCTCAGCGCCTCGGTCGGAAGGGGCGCGGGTTCGAGCCCCGCCATGGGCACGGGTGTTTGTCCCTTGTCGGGCATGTATATGTATTGCCCGCAGAAGGCCTTGCGAGTCTTCTGGCCGTAGATTGAGGAGCCCCCAGGGTGTCAGTGTCTAGTGTAAAGGTTAATATGTGTCTACATGAGGGACATAGTCAGTCCCCGGCGCGGAGAGTCGATAATCGGCCTCCCCAGAAGGTGGGAAGAAGTGGAGCTCCGTTTCAATATAACAAAGCTGCTCTCTTGAATTTAGACTTTGTGTTGTTTTTAAGTAAGAATTATTTTAAAATAACTTCAGCACGGTGCATGAAATAAAAGAGGTCGTCGCATTTCGTATAAGAGGTTGAGATTTCATCTTTTCTTTTGTAGATCCTTGACATTTAGCGCTAGCTGTCTCCGTTATTATTTTAGTTGCACAAATCGAGATTGTAATTGGCTATAAATCATAAACGTCAAATGGATAATAAAAGGTAAAAAATCGGCTTTTATGTAGTGGAAAGCATTGTGAATACCTTGCCGCTGCTTCTTTCAGAGTTGAAGCATGATATTGTAATTGGAAACGCTCAATAGATTCAAGAAATTTCTTAATATCATCTCCAAGGTATTGATATTACCTCCACTATATTGCGAGAGGGAAAAACGCTTGTTTTAATTAACACCGCGTTGAAGAACTCTTCAAAAGAGCTTTTGTGGCAGCTTGCAAGTAGCGCTAATTTTTTTTGGAGAGGACGTCAGGCAGCTTTCTTACTGCAGTGGTAGCTGGTGCAATCTGGCGGGCGCATACCGAACTCCTGCGTGCTGAACTGACTCTCTGGAGTCGCGGATACTTCGCTGAGCGTTCGCATCGGAGTAGATTCGTATGAAGATAGGAGAGATTGAACCGCCGGGTTACGTGCCTGGAGGAGGGTTTGAGGAGGGACACGGGGACGAAGTTTAAAAGTCGCTCTTCACTAATTAGCCTCTCCAGCGATGGTTTCTGCCAGGACACATTAAAATTTCTATTTGATTTTTTCATGAAATGTGGATCTTGATATCATAAAATTATTACGGCCTAAGGCACCAATGTATACATTTTCAAATTAAGTATAGGGTATTCAGTATATTTTAGGATACACGAAATTCGTGCTTTGTCTTAGATGAATACTCACTTATTGTTGCATTGTCTTAATGTCCGTTGTGTGTTCCTTCGGTTAGAAGAGAGAATTGGGTGTAGTAGTGGCTGTCGAGAAGTGGGGGTGTTTGCATTTGCCGACATACCCTTCCCACTCCTTGACTCGCAGCAGCGCCCAATGTGCGGGGTACGTACGTGCCCGAAGAGGCCCGAGGCGACGAGCTCGCCGTCGAGGTGCAGCGCCCAGCGCGCGCGCGCGGCGCTCCAGCCCTGGCACACGTGGTGCCAACGGCCCTCGCGCAGCCCGGCCACCACGCGCATCACGGGCCGCTCGCGCACCGCCATCTGCACCAGCACCCCGCGCCGAGTCGCGCGCAGCCACCCGCGCACCAGCCGCTGCGTCTCGTGCCCTGCAACGCCACGCGCAGCCGCAGGCTGGACAGAAATAACATATTTGCCACATCCTCGAGTTAATGTTGTACACTCGTCATTATGCAGGCTGTATCTGCATAGAAAAGGTTCTCGGAAATCCAAAAATAGTATTGTATTTGCTTACGACATCCTCAGGTTACGTCCAATACAAACCGGCCGTATCTGCTTAAATTATTTTTCTCAGAAATACAAAAAAAGTACATTATTTTGCCCAGATCCTTCGGTTATGTTTCAAGTACATTTTGAAGTCGATCGTATCAGTATAGAAAATTGTTTTCAAAAATCCAAAAATAACCTCTCGTCGTATGTGTATCAATTTTTCCCGTCAATTCAGTAATACATTAGAACATATGCAATAAATATTTGCTGGATTTTCGTTTGCGGGGGGATTTGGAGCAGCGTCCGACGACGAGGAGCCGCGCAAGGTCGTGTGGTTGGCTTTTCATACCCACTGATCGCAACCATTATAGTACATCTATCATAATTATTGCTCCACTGTCCTTTATTCGGTGTAAAAGCAAACCACCACTGATTAACTGTTCGGGAAACCGGGGGATATAAAGGCATAAGTCGCCTTCTTCACTCAAGAGTATGGCTCTCTCACTCACGCACAAATTCTCATACACACACACTGGAAGGTAAGATAATCGGAGATTAAATACTTGTTACATGAGATTGCATGCACATATTTTAATTGTAATTATTCTCAGAAGTCCGTTTTTTTATGTGAAAGTCACTACGGCACTTTGACGATATTAACCATGGTTACTAATATTTGCCCATATTTATTTGTGGAGGCATATCCTGAATTGATCAGATGAGACAATTTGTCCTTCATAATATCCCAACGGAATTAATTGGCAGGGCCCGTTTTATTTTCTCCGTCGCCTTGTTACTTCTTTTTTGTTCCCTTTTCGTTGTCTTCTGGCTTCGGAGTGCATGGGAGCAAACATTATTGTCGACGTAAGTAAATGCACATTGTTACCAATAATATCTGAATACCTGTAACTTTAATGTCTCAAAAGAAGTTATTTGAAAATGTGCCACTTTATGCCTTGTGTTTATGTTTATTTTATATTATTGCTTAGAAGCAATAATAGAGAAAGTGTAGATGTGAATAAAATAATTCGTGTGCGTATTTAGGGATAATGAAATAACATTGTGTGCAATAAAAATCCTGTAATACTGAATGGAATGAAACGTAAGAGAGAAAACGTTAGAACAACTCTCTCCAGCCCTTGCCTCCGTGGAAGACGTAGTAGCTCGTGGATTACCACTCGTGCAAGACCCTCGCCGCGACGGGCAACGGGTGGGCTTTGTGCTGCGCGAAGTGGGCGAGTGGGTGGATCACCCCTCGGCGGCAGAGCGCAGCCCCCGACAGTGCAGTCGAGGGGCTCCTCCTCCAGGCGCCGCCATCATGCTTTCTTGTTTCTCTTCCGTAATCGCGCAGACGTTTGCATAAAAACCCGTACAAGTCTTGAGATGGATGAGGTTTCTCCTCGCATCCTGTTAGAGCATACGTGAAGATAGGAAAGAAACTTGCGTAGACTTTTGGGTACCTCATTTTGCAGAGCGCAATTTTTTTCAGCAATTTAATACAGCAATTAGCGTACAATGTTGACGTATACTTTCTCGCAAAATTGCAGCAGTGGCCCCCGAGGTCTAGCCGAGTTTTTCCGTTCTGTAGCGTGTTTTTTCAGCGTCTGAAGAGAAACCTCCAACGTTGAACTCAAAATTTCCACGGGTCTTCGTGTGCTCGTTCTATACTTAGCGCATTTCTCAAGAACTCTAGATGAACACTCCATGTGGGGTATTCAGTAGCTGGGGATAGGGATTGTGATGAAACGGAGAACGAAAATAATAATTCTAAAACACGCTGAATTAATTTTAATACCCATATATTGAAAAATGTGGAGAAGCATCAACCCCTTGATTTTATTTTGCCTAATTGCAAGAAAAGTTTCCTAGACATTTCAGAAAATACTATTTTCCGATGATACTGTATTTGGAACCCCTTTTATGATACTAGAAATGAATACGTATTTCGCCGTTATTATCAAAGTATTACAATGGTTTATATTAAAATTTCTGGACGTTGAAATAAATATTAGCTGAAATCCTTATACTCTCTAGCCCAGTATCACTTACATTATAACTCATTCTCACAAAAATTGATCACATCAAAATTATTTTTCAATAAACATCTTTCTTTTGAAAGATAATAATTTGAAATGCCAATTTGAAAGATAATATTTGCCAGTGTGTCTCATCGTAGAGGTTACAGTATTGACCGAGGTCAGCCTTCAAACTAATAAGTCACAGATACGTTCCCACCGATTTAAATTCGCTACTAGTTACAGGTGAACATTTGCACGTACAGCCACAGAAGATGGGGCTTCAGAAAAAAGGACAAAGCGCTACTCGCCGATGCAGTGCGCCTGCTGCTCGGGTGAATTCACCCTCGGAGGGAGACCTGTTGGTGGCTGCACCGGACCGCGCTCGAGAGTTGCACCGCACGCCTCCGGAACCGAACGGCCGCAAGCCGAGTTCCCCAATGGTCGAGGCAGGGCTAGCGGCTTTTCTCAGGGTTACGAGCGATCAACTCCCGACGCTGTCAGTCGGAGTCACGGCTAGCAGTATTCGTCCTACGCGCAGAAAGGAGTCGACGCCAAAAGTAAAGTAGACTTATCACGTAAGAACAATTTTAAATATTTAACGGTTCCCTCTTCTCTAAGTTCAGATGTATTTGGTTGTCCCTAAAGTGCATTGATGCTATTTAGTTTCAAGTGGAGGGAGGTTACAGTAGAGACATTCAGGTAGTTAATGAAGAGAGCGACTGAACAACGACACAAGCGCGAGCTTGAGAAGAACTAGCATTTCAGTTGAACTTGAAGATTTAGGCCTCTTCTATCGCGTCTCGGGGAGATTTTAATTAAAAAATGGCTGCATAACACGAGATACTCGATTTAGTTGAGAGAGTTGTGTTTTGTCTCTGTGATTTGTTGGGAACGTCCGTGTTTTATGTGGAAAATGGATACATGTAATCAAGCTATTAGTCTTCTATTTTTTTCGCGTCTGACACGCTTGTTCCTGTTTATAAAACGTTGGAAAAATATTTGATAAAAAAATTGTTTTTAATAATACATACAATGGTTAATTCGTTTTATTTAAAATAGAGATTATCGTTTTTTATGGAACCTTTCTCGTTGTTCAAAGTTGGGTGGAACAGCGGGACACGAGGTCATGTCGTACTATGTGGTTACACAAGTGATAGTTCGTCATAAGTGGTGAAGTGGGTGCAATATGATTGAAATTTTTGTGTTTACTTTTCCTTCGTGTACAGTAGATTAGAAAGAAAAGTATTCGAATAACCTGAACATTACAATCGAGTTTCTATCCTAAAATCCATTGTTTGTTATTCTTTTGAGCTGAAAGTGCGCACGCACGTCAGAATTGAGGTCTATTAGTGCTCTTCCAAAGATGGACAAGAGATACCCGCTAATTAGTATCAGAAAGTAGGGAAGTCTTTCGTTTGTATATTTTTATATGTATGATTAAAAAATTAAAAATAGAAAATGCTTTATGATTACTTATATTGCTATTTTGTTACATTTTCATCACATTCAGTCTTTTTTGGCTTGTTTGAAAATTGAAATGTAGCAAATTATAGAATAAAAAAAAAACAAATCATGAAATAGTATACGTAATACGTTTACAAAAATTCACATTTAAAATTTAAAAAAATGTATTTTCTGTTGCGCCAATTGCATGCAAATTGTTATTACTTATAAAATGAAATAAAATTCCATATGGTCTTCTTGCAAATCGAAAAATTTACTGAAACGTTTATGGAATGAAATTATTTCCAAAATAACAATTAACAGTTCGTTTTTAAAACACACGTGATACTCAGGTTAACTAAAATGCTACTGACTGCCATATTGAAATGCGCATTTTTTTTCAGCTATGACGCCTTCAATTCGTCACACTTTTTCTGCTCTTTTCACATAGAGATGAGTGCATATCGTGCCTTTCTTCAAATGATTGTTCCTCCACTTTTTAACTGAAATACTGGCATAGATGATTATAATCTCCTTTAAGCAGAATTTTTTTAAAAACAGTTTATGAACATGTTTGTGAAAGCAATTCTGTGCGATATTTCTTTACCCTTGCAGGCTCTTGCACCTCTAGAGGGTGCTCTCGATTTCACTCTGTTACATCTTCGAAGGACGCTTCTGCGCCGGTCGCAATCCGTCTGCTACTGTGGGGGCCGCATGCAATTTGACAACTTTCTCCACGCACTTGCCTTCCATTTCGTGCATCCACGAGCCAGAACCCTGTCATTCACCTTCACAACCAACAGCAACTTTTCGCGGGCGGGTTTCACAGGTTTCGTTCGGACCGCGCGGCCGGAACGATCGAGTTTTATTTCATGAAAGCGAATGAGATTAAATGCTAGAAGAAAATTGAATCTCTATAGTGATTTGAAATTTTCATCGAAATAAGTGAAATTAACATGTGGGTATAGCTTTTTCATGAGTTGCCCTCTATCATATTTTGCCTTTGTCAGCTGATTGCCGCACATCATCATATGCCTTTCAGTTTACATCCATAGAGCTGTAGAATTATTGCTGTTCTTTTTATGATTACGTCAAATATGTCACATTGTTGCCTGTGGCCCATACACTGTAACGAGACATTTCGTTGGTGCACTCAGACCTTCGTTTAAAAACATAGTCTGTCCTTCGGTGTCAGTTTCGTGGGCCCGCGCGGTTGCGCGGCTACTTACGCGAGTAGGAGAAGATGGGCTGCGGGGAGGTGAAGTTGTTGGAGCGCAGCCACAGGCAGTAGGTGAAGTCGTAGAGGTCCGGCACGTCCACCTTGTAGCGCAGGTACTGGGGACAGAGGACAGTGCTATTTTTAGTCTGTTTTTCTGGACTCGATGCTCAGATCAGAGAGAGTGAATGAGTCAGTACGTATTAATGATGATGCTATAATTAAGCAGTGACAAAAGGAGAGGCAGGGAAAGAAGCAGAAGCCCGAGAAATCTAAGGCAAACACAGTTCCATCCACAAGAACAGTGGCCGGAATTGGAACCCTCACAGGGGCATCGTCCGCCCTCCTCTTCTTTCGGTTGGAGGTTTTGGGTTAACGACCACGCTTCCCCTTACCTTGGCCATTAGCTCCGCTTAAAAAACGCTCGCGCGAAAGCAGCAATTACCCCGGAGCAGTAAACGCTTCCATTTCGATGTGGGAAATGACGAAGTCTCACTTAACAGTAGTTACTAAATGGTTTTATTTCAAATATTTCAATAAAATAATTATACGTCATTTATTTAATATTGATGAATCGGTACACTAGTGGTGTTTAAACAAGAGTTTACAAAAGTGAATCGTTTTGATACGTTCAAGTCCCCTCGAATAGTGAACATTTTGTCTTAACATATCTATATGTTTCCCGTCATTCACACAAATTGTCGAGCAGATTTGTGTAAATTATGGTAATCTACAACCACCGATACGTAACAAAAAAAAGAAAGCATCGGAGTATCCTCCTAATAACGTATTCATGTTTTGGGTGAACTCTCACCGTGCGACACATTTTCTGGAAAGCGCGTGATTTCACCAGCAAGAAGCTCGCCGGCGCCGTGCGGACGAGCAACTCAGCGCGAGTGTTGTTGTTTCTTTCGCGAGGCAAGCGCCAGTGAGAGCGGGGGCTTACCTGGATGTAGCCCTTCTGCGTGAGAGCCACCTTGAAGAGGCTGCCGGGTGGCTGCGGGTCGCCGGGCCCGGCCCAGTTCGGAGCGTCTTCCAAGGCGCCGCGCGCGATTAGCCGGTCGGCGGTGGCGCCGCGCGCGATGAGCAGCGTGGTCGATGCCGCCACTAGCGCCACCGTCGCCATCGCCGCGCGCGCCGCAGCCCACGTGCCGTGACGATGCCGTAGGGGCTTCCCCCGTGGGGGTCGCCGACTCGGAACAGCCGCCCCGGGCGCCTGCTGAAGCAGAGGGCGCCGGTGTAGGAATAATAGGCCGGCTTTTGTCGAAATTAAAGAACTAGGCCTGCCTTGACCTAGTAGTGGTACATACAAGTTGCAGCAATATACATAGTCGTAATACAAGACCAGGGTTGGGCAAAATACTTCAAATTTAGTATTTAAATACTTCACCAAAGTACTCTATAAATAAATATTTAAATATACATTAGGTTTGGATTTGCTAAATACATACATATTTAAAATCCTCAAAATAAAGTAAATATAGTGAATTTACTTCTCAAAATGTATTTACATACATGTTAAATCGATTAAATTTAGTGTTTCATTGTAAAAAGTTTTTCTTTATTTTTACCCAAAGTAATTTGCCAGACTACACCTTTGTAATAATGTTTGGTACTTTGTAATCTAGGGTTAAATACTGCCCAATCCTATAAAAGAGCAACTAAAATAGTCCTTTTCTGGCTTCCAAACATCAGGTAACTGTCGATGGTGGCTATGCCATTGAAAGTTGCTTTTGTATTAAATAACAAGGTTAACCAAGATAACAACTCTAATTCTTTTATTTGAAAAACCGACAAAGGCAAATCATCATTAAACAATATGGCTTTTGTCGGCAAAGATTGACAGGCTGGCGTCATTCAATGCACCCAAGTGGAGCGTAAGATTCTCGGAGTTGTATTGCTTAAAAATAAGCTTTTAATTTATTGAGAAAAAGAGCTTTAATTAAATATTTTCAGAGATTCACAGTAGCAATCTTGTCAACAAGTATAAAAAAGCGCACATTTTCTTTAGCTCTCATGTTGACAAATGTAAGAAGGGTGTCGGCAACTCTATCAAAACAAATTTGTAGCTGATATCCTGTAGTAGATATTTTCTATTACGCTTCAACGAAAATGTATGTAATCAAACGTTGCCAACAACTCTCATTGCCATCTTTTATTCATTATTCAACTATGAATGGTAAAATATTAGGTAGGGATTCACGAGCTCGAGGAAACGTTTGGATATTACAGCAATGTCATCATCGCCTGCTAATTAATATCTTGAGTTATAAGATGATGACTTGCTACTTGTAAAAGAATCCCTAAAAACGCGAAATTAATGACAGTTTTCTCAGTAAACTGGCGCTTTGTATCTTTCATATTCTCTGTGTAGAATTATATGAATGCAACTGTACAAGTGAGAGTGAAATCTCTACATGCAATGTTCAAGTCACAAGATAGGGATGCACTAACGAGGTTCTAGTTTTTACCTCTTTTATTTTTTCGCATCCTGACATTGTTCCAAGGCAGTCTCTTCTGGCCAACTCATGCAAAAAGGTGCTGAAGCGTTAATACACTACATGAATATAACTGTGCATGTCCATACCATCAATAAATCGCGAAATTTCACGATAAGTGAAAGTCGTAATAACGTTTTATCTTAGACGTGATGGTTTTATTCATAGAAACCGCTTCAAGAATTGATTTTGAGTCCCGAAGAGAGCTCAGGATAAAATGTATATTATGAGCGTAAGCAGAAGAGCCTGACCGATGAACCAATGTACTTAGTGAACGTCACGTCACTGCAAAATTCATCAATAAGTCAATAAATCTGGATAGTAACAAACGTTTCATAACATTCTGTCGTGGACAATTTCTCTCCGATATACTTCAGTAAATTTTTGGTGTTCGTTTCCCGTATTTGTAATGCAAAACCTTAGAGCCAATGGTGAGTTTGCCAGAGGACAATACTTACGCCGTTCGGGGTGAGAGACCGGGCTGCCAGGCCTGTCGTGGCCCTCGCCAACGCACGCGCCGTCCTGTGCTTCGGTTCACGATGTGCAGCAGCCCCGCGAACTCGTTGCATCCTCGTCGGGACTCCCACCAACGCACACGCAGGCTTTTGCGCCATCTCGCGAGTCTGCATCGTCGCGGATCCGTCAAGTTCTCGATGTAGCACTCGCCACACACACACACACACGTCGTTTGCGCTGGCTGTGCTGTAGCGCCGTGGTATCGCAGTCCTCGTCGAACACCCGCCGGCGTCGGCGTAGCGCACCCAGTCGAACGCGCCGGCTGGCGACTGGGGTGTGCGCTGCGCCGTGGTCGCTCAGGCGGATCTCTTTCCCGTCGGCGAGCGCCGTCCACTCGACCCCGATGCGCAGCCAGGCGCCCTCCCGCGCTGCGGCGAAGGCGCTGGCCCAACCCCTGCCCTGCCGCCCGGAGCCACGCCTATTCTCTCCGCGGGGGGCCGAGGCGATCGCTCCTCAACGCAGCCCCGCCGCCGCGCACTCCGCTTTCACCGTCAGCATGGCGCGTCTTTGTTTCGCGACCCGCTTCTCGCTGACACCTTCTTACTCGTCGGTTGCTTTTTTTTTATCTCTGTGGCAGGTGATGCCCTTCGTGCGAAGCTGCGCCTGATTGAAATGGCTTGCACAGCACCGATGAACGCGTCGATAGTATCCGGTTCTTCGGGCGGTACATTGAGTTCAGTTTTCACTTCTCAAAGTCAAAGCGCTCGCGACTTCTTTTTGCCTGCGCGTTCACTTCATGCAGTGCAACGTGTGTGTCCTTCACAAAACTTTGGAGTCAATTTTCACTTCATTTTCTCACTGTTGAACAGTTCACGTTCGTGTCTTCTAATTCACTAGGAATCATCTCTTGAGGCCCGAGCACAGAGTTGACGCACGTCTTGAACAGAACGTCGGACCCAGTAGTTTTCTGAGCGTCAGCCCCCTTGGAGGCACGTATGTGCACCGCACGTTGCAGTCTGTGGTCCGTGTTCCGCTCGTGCGCCGCCCTGGAGGCGCCGGGCGCAAAGTGAACTCGCCAACGCGTCCGATTCACTCGCTGGCCCGCACACTCCTGAAGCACGTCTGCGTGTCGCCGGCGCCGGCGCCGGGGGCGTGGCGTGGCGTGGCGTGGCGTGGTGCGGCGCGCGGCCGGCCGGTGTGGGAGGGCGCTTTCGCCGGAATCGCGGAGCGGCGGCGACGGCCACAGCAGCAGCAGCAGCAGCAGCGGCGGCAGCAGCGGGCGCGGCCCGGGTTATCTCGCTCGCCGCGCTCCGCCCGCTCCGCGCCACCTTTCTTTCCACCTGCAATCAAATGGAGAAGGGACCGGTGCACGTCGTTGCGTAAGGGGATGGGACGGGCGGTGGAAGGCGTCTTTCGCGAGTGGAGGGTCCGTACGCGGACAGTTATATCACGTGCACTCGCGACTGCTCCGCTATTGAGGATGGTTGTTTTATTGTGACAAGAGAAACCGGCGAGGTGAAAGGCACGTCTCCACATGTAATAAGCTCTGCCCGTCCCTCTCCGCTTCCCCGTTCACGCACGCACGCACGCACGCAGCAGTGATTGCCGGCTAATGCACCGAGGCCTCTTGTGCCCATGTTCTACGGCGCGCATCTCTTTGTTGCTGAGGAAGGGTTTTCGCTAAGGTAGCAAATGTATCTGCAATTGCGTTGGCAACCGACTCCAATAAAACAACACTAAGAAAAAATTAGCTTACGTTACTGGTGTCCCTGCGATAATGAAAACCTATAAATTTGTATTATATTAATTATTAAACTGTTTATAATGTATGGTATGTACGGACTAACGCATTTCAGTAATTGATTCTCAAAGAAAAAGTATAATAATTTTATTACGATACTTAATGTAATGCTTGTGGAGATTCATCAATGCTGTGTAATGTAATAAAAGTAAAAGTTACATAAAATCGAGTTTTGCTGCTCTTGGCTGTCTTACAGTGTGCCGTTCTGCCTGAAAATGCGAAAACTCGAAAGGAAAACGACGAACAACTTGGAATTATCTCTTGCCGAATGGGGAGTGAGATGTTGGCCGAGGTAAAGAAGTTTGTGGAAACAATGGGGTCAAGGACATTTTCTTAGGAGCTCTTAAAAACCTCCGCTGCGAATGTTCATAATGAAAACTCACGGCTGTGCATGTACAATATCTAATGCACAATGTGCCTTCTCTACAGTTAGGTTTGACCGCTAGCTATTGCGAGCACGGTATTGCTTGGGTTTGTCTTAAAGACCCCTTTCACAATGGAACATAAACTTAATGATAAACAACACATTATGTATCTAGAATGAACCAGGAATACATTGCCTAGGTAAGTTCTTCTCGAAAGTGCGCGAGAGGGCATGCGCCTGAGGTACTAACGAGAGAAATTCTCTAGGAAAATCGGACCCTAAGCCTTTTGATTTGTAATGTTAATCCTAAAAATAGGTCATTCGGAACAGCCAGTCGACTCTCACTGAACCATTCTACGCGCTACAAAATCATACGTATACTAAACTGTTAGACTTAATATTTTTCTATATTTACACGCATACCGAAATGCCGTAATAGTTTTCTGTTAAAAAAAATATATGGCGGTGTGTATGTTTGACGCGTTAGTAACAAATTATGCTCTCCACACAATAGCGAGCGATACTTTGAAACTTTATCTGACAATGTAAACATCGTAGCGTGAATTCGCGTCGCTCAGCAAAGAATCCGCGGTCGGTGGTGCGTGCGTTGCGCGGCGAGTCCTTGGGAGGAGCGCGCGTGCGCGTGCGCGTGCAAGGTCGCGCCACTCACCCGCACTCACCCGCCTCGCTCCGCCTCCGCCTCGCACTGGTCCGTGGCCCAGACCTCTGCGCGCGCGGGGAAAGTAGCGCGGGCGGCAGGGCGGGCGAGCCCTCTTCTCTAAAGCCACGACGCGGCACACGCGGCCAGACTGGCAGGTGCACGGGCACGCGCGCGCGCCCGCGGTCCCATACTACTACTACTATCATCATCATCATCATCATCATCATCATTATTATTATTATTATTATTATTATTATTATTATTACTATTATTACTATTGTTATTATTTTTATTATTATTATAGTAGTAATCATTGCTCGTAACCCATAATAAACGTGGGTTTTAG